TATCCATCATAAAAGTGCATCTGTCCATCATAAAAGTGCATCTATCCATCATAAAAGTGCATCTATCCATGATAAAAAAAAAGTGCATCTATCCATGATAAATGTGCATCTATCCATCATAAAAGTGCATCTGTCCATCATAAAAGTGCATCTATCCATCATAAAAGTGCATCTGTCCATCATAAAAGTGCATCTATTCATGATAAATGTGCATCTATCCATCATAAAAGTGCATCTATCCATCATAAAAGTGCATCTATCCATCATAAAAGTGCATCTATCCATCATAAAAGTGCATCTATCCATGATAAATGTGCATCTATCCATCATAAAAGTGCATCTATCCATCATAAAAGTGCATCTATCCATCATAAAAGTGCATCTGTCCATCATAAAAGTGCATCTATCCATCATAAAAGTGCATCTATCCATGATAAATGTGCATCTATCCATCATAAAAGTGCATCTATCCATGATAAATGTGCATATGTCCATCATAAAAGTGCATCTATCCATCATAAAAGCGCATCTATCCATCATAAAAGTGCATCTATCCATCATAAAAGTGCATCTAAACATCAATAAAAAAGTGCATCTATCCATCATAAAAGTGCATCTATCCATGATAAATGTGCATCTATCCATGATAAATGTGCATCTGTCCATCATAAAAGTGCATCTATCCATCATAAAAGTGCATCTATCCATCATAAAAGTGCATCTATCCATCATAAAAGTGCATCTATCCATCATAAAAGTGCATCTATCCATGATAAAAGTGCATCTATCCATCATAAAAGTGCATCTATCCATCATAAAAGTGCATCTATCCATGATAAATGTGCATCTATCCATCATAAAAGTGCATCTGTCCATCATAAAAGTGCATCTATCCATCATAAAAGTGCATCTATCCATGATAAAAAAAAGTGCATCTATCCATGATAAATGTGCATCTATCCATCATAAAAGTGCATCTGTCCATCATAAAAGTGCATCTATCCATCATAAAAGTGCATCTGTCCATCATAAAAGTGCATCTATTCATGATAAATGTGCATCTATCCATCATAAAAGTGCATCTATCCATCATAAAAGTGCATCTATCCATCATAAAAGTGCATCTATCCATCATAAAAGTGCATCTATCCATGATAAATGTGCATCTATCCATCATAAAAGTGCATCTATCCATCATAAAAGTGCATCTATCCATCATAAAAGTGCATCTGTCCATCATAAAAGTGCATCTATCCATCATAAAAGTGCATCTATCCATGATAAATGTGCATCTATCATCATAAAAGTGCATCTATCCATCATAAAAGTGCATCTATCCATCATAAAAGTGCATCTATCCATCATAAAAGTGCATCTATCCATCATAAAAGTGCATCTGTCCATCATAAAAGTGCATCTATCCATCATAAAAGTGCATCTATCCATGATAAATGTGCATCTATCATCATAAAAGTGCATCTGTCCATCATAAAAGTGCATCTATCCATCATAAAAGTGCATCTATCCATGATAAAAGTGCATCTATCCATGATAAAAGTGCATCTATCCATCATAAAAGTGCATCTGTCCATCATAAAAGTGCATCTATCCATCATAAAAGTGCATCTGTCCATCATAAAAGTGCATTTATCCATGATAAAAGTGCATATATCCATCATAAAAGTGCATCTATCCATCATAAAAGTGCATCTATCCATGATAAAAGTGCATCTGTCCATCATAAAAGTGCATCTATCCATGATAAAAGTCCATCTATCTATCATAAAAGTGCATCTATCCATCATAAAAGTGCATTTATCCATGATAAAAGTGCATATATCCATCATAAAAGTGCATCTGTCCATCATAAAAGTGCATCTATCCATCATAAAAGTGCATCTGTCCATCATAAAAGTGCATCTATCCATCATAAAAGTGCATCTATCCATGATAAATGTGCATCTATCCATCATAAAAGTGCATTAGGGTTAACCATGGGCTAATTTTCATTTTTGGGTGAACTATCTCTTTAAGTCACATGTTACGTCTCCACACAGTCAGACTCATGGACTCTTCATCTCTGTTGTGTTCCTGGTGTTCATATGAAGATGATTGTCCCTATCAGAACAAAGCCACTGATGTTTTATTAGGATTATCTCTCCAATTATTCATGGAATACAAATGAGATTTTTATAAAAGTTCTATTACAGGGTTAATTCTTCATTATTTAGTTGAACTTTGAAACTTGAAAGAAAAGATTAAAAAAAGTTATGTTAATATGATCATAAATATGTTTACGAAATGCTTTAAAATTGTTTTAACTTTTTTATTATTGTTATTTTATTTTGTCTTATTTATTATTTTTATATTGTTTGTTATTTATGTGTTTTACATGTTTGGATGAAATTATTCATAGTGATTTCAGTCTGGAGTACTTTGAGAAAATATATTAAAGTAATGGATCATATTGAGCTCTTTTTATTGACGGAGTAATTATGAAATTGGTTATGCACGCATTTATTAAATTATTGATCATTGTCAATTGTTTGGGTTACTATAATGAATTAAGAAGAAATGCTTAAAGATTCACTAGCAATACAAGAAATCATGTGTTTAATTTTTAATGCATTTCTGTCCGCATTTGAAGATCCATGTGAATGAACACTAAGAAATCCTTTTGGTTTTAAAGACTGAATGAACAAAACTCCACGGTTACACTTCTTCCAATGCCTTGCTTTAAGAATAAATTAAATGTTCAAAACTTCATGACATTAACCCTCAGACGGTCTTCGTTTCGGAGTCACATCCTGGGCCTTCCCGGTCAGAAGTGACCGGACACCTAAAAATGAAACTTCCTCCATCCCAGTAAAACCAATGCAATTTATTTTTGTTCTATAATATTTATTCTTTTTAATTTAGTATTTTGAGACAATTTGATTGAACTTATTAATATTTATGCAATATTTATGGTCAATTTTTTGCCATTGAAAATAATGAATTTTTTATTTTATTTTTTATTTATTTTCCTTCTATGCAGTATTTTCGGTTAAAATAGAGACTAGGTTTTCTGAAAAAAAAAAAAAAAAAAAAAAATCTATTTATTAAACATAAAATTAAATAAATCATGTTATTGCATGGGTTTACCACTAGATGCCTGTATAGCTCTAAATGGAGATGCTTGTGATTTCTATTTGTTTTTGGACCAAATTACTTACTTTTAAGATGTGGATTGAATGTATTTTTTTTAGAAATTCTCAAATAATACTTTTTGCCAAGGTTTATAACATTTTATTAATTATTATTTTAATAATTGTAATAATTATTATATTAATTATATATATATATATATATATATATATATATATATATTATAATTATTAATTATGTTATGTTTTTCACTCTAGATGTTTTAGAGTTTCACCCCTTCATTGCTGAGCACTTTTTTCTGCATCGTGGCCAATTTGTAGATAATTTTTGTGTTTTTGTCAATTTCCCATTCATTTCCTATGGGGGTCATTTTTGACCAGACCAAAATCGTGACTAATTTTTTTTTACGACCACTTAGCATGCTCGGATCATGAACTCAATTTTTTTGTGTGTTCACATACCTAATGCCAGAAAAGTCACCAAGTTTCGTAACATTCCGATGAAGCTGTGATTTTTAAAAATTCAAACAGATTTTTTGTAATCTGAATTTATTGGTGTGTATGTGTATAAAAGTGTGTTTGTATGTGTGTGTGGGTGGGTGTGAATTTTTTGCACTTTTGATGTTATAGAGTGTCCCTTTACTGCGGTGTAGGCCTACTTTTTTTTAGAATCGTGGCCGATTTGTAGATTGTACAGACAAAAATTCAGAGAATTTTTGTGTTTTTGTAAATTTCCCATTCATTTCCTATGGGTCGGTCATTTTTGACCGAAGACCAAAATCGTTACTATTTTCTACGACCACTTAGCATGCTCGGATCATGACCTCAATTTTTTTTTGTATTTACATACCCAATGCCATAAAAGTCACCAAGTTTCATAACATTCCGATGAAGCTGTGATTTTTAGAAATTCAAAACAGAAAATTATTCGGTCAGAAATGACCGAGGACCGTCTGAGGGTTAAAAATATCCCCTGCAACAAAATCTGCTTTGTTGTCTATGTTGCAGTGAAATACTGTGAATACCACGGCAGAACCTGACGTTAATCATTCAAATAAGGGTGTTGCTTATTTATAACTTTGAGAAAATACTAAAATCGTATTACAGTTTTTAATCAATAAACAATATGTGTTTTATCAGCACCAGTAAAACATCGACTCTGGCAAATCGGTTGAACATAAAAACAAATTGTAGGTCAATTATAGCAATTTAAAAAAAAATCTAACACTACAACCTTTGGAACATGAAAAAAAAAACAACTTTTGGTGAGTTTCTCTCTAAAATAATGATGTACTTGTACCGTGCATGGAAAACATGGCGCCATTTAATGGGAGAGATAAAGTTGCTTATAAGAGAATTTTCAGACAATTAATTTAATTAGGTTTTGCATATGGGTATATTACACATTATCAAATACAATAGACTAAAAAAATCGCTCAGTATTAGTAGGCTATTTCCCATTCAGATCACACGTGTGAATATTTTAAAGACATTTTGCCTTTTATAATCATACCTATGATTTTGTTTTGTTCATATGGCAATTAAGTGACCTAAAAGTCGAAGTTTCGTACCAATTCGATGTAGCAAAACATTTAAAAAATTCAAAACGTAATATTTTTCGTTCTAAAATAAATCACCCACGAACGCTAGAGGGTTTGCATGATATTGAAAGGTCCCAAACCCATTGTAGCATTTTAGCGCATACAGACTTTTCTTTTATACACAAAACGACTCTTCTAAAACTTATGTATTTTGATTATAACCCACGTTAACATGATGTAATATTAATAATTTAAGGGTTGTGGTGGGCTTCACGTAACTCCGAGGTCAGTGGTCTTCCGGAAGTGTCGTCACTGACTGACCATGACCTTCCTCTCGTCTGTCACGTAGTCGTGTGTGTAGACGAGACACGCGAATGATTGTGCAATGTAGGAGTAGAGAAATCACCTCGTACAACGACACAGTCTGTTTACTCTGGTAAGTGCTCATTCACATTAATTTCATTGGTTGTTGTTGCACTAACAGCCATTCAGAAAGAGAGTGACAGGTGAACATGCGTTAGCCGCGAGCTCAGCTAGTTTCCGGTTCACAGCTCATAATCAACTCTACATTATTACTCTGATACTTTAGAGTACTAATACTCCTAATAATATAAAGGGTCTATTAATGGATTTTCATGGCCGTCCATGTGTCCATTTAAGTGTGTATTTCTATGGCTGTGTGGGTTTTTAGGCACATCATCTCTAAACACTGTTTTCCTAATATAATCCCATATACTCGGATTCATTAAGTTAAATCTAGTCAGCTGTCAACAGTTCTAGGAAAGTCTTATCTAGATCTTCTTAAACCCCCCGAGCTGGTTTCTGCTCATCTTTTGAAGAGATTATCAGTGATCTGCTTGCTAAGAGCGTGTTCTCCAGCTGTCAGTCATCTGACATGTGTAGGTGTGCAGCTTTGAGTCAAATACTGTATCTCTGCCATTCATAGATCAGGTTATGCACATGCACTCATATACCAGAGTTAAGACTTGCGCATGCCTGTCGTGTAGATCTCAATTATTAGCTGTTTTGTCCTTTGTTTCAGGTTTTAGCAGGTTGAGCGGGAACAATGGTGAAGTATTTCAGCTGTACAGGCTTTCTGAAGAGTTCTTGGGACCAAGTGTTTCTGGCGTTCTGGCAGAGATACCCCAACCCTTACAGGTGCTGTTACAACACACATTCATCATGCTATTATATATTATTATACCCCAACCCTTACAGGTGCTGTTACAACACACATTCATCATGCTATTATATATTATTATACCCCAACCCTTACAGGTGCTGTTACAACACACATTCATCATGCTATTATATATTATTATACCCCAACCCTTACAGGTGCTGTTACAACACACATTCATCATGCTATTATATATTATTATACCCCAACCCTTACAGGTGCTGTTACAACACATATTCATCATGCTATTATATATTATTATACCCCAACCCTTACAGGTGCTGTTACAACACACATTCATCATGCTATTATATATTATTATACCCCAACCCTTACAGGTGCTGTTACAACACATATTCATCATGCTATTATATATTATTATACCCCAACCCTTACATGTGCTGTTACAACACACATTCATCATGCTATTATATATTATTATACCCCAACCCTTACAGGTGCTGTTACAACACATATTCATCATGCTATTATATATTATTATACCCCAACCCTTACAGGTGCTGTTACAGCACACATTCATCATGCTATTATATATTATTATACCCCAACCCTTACAGGTGCTGTTACAACACATATTCATCATGCTATTATATATTATTATACCCTAACCCTTACAGGTGCTGTTACAACACACATTCACCATGCTATTATATATTATTATACCCCAACCCTTACAGGTGCTGTTACAACACATATTCATCATGCTACTATGTATTATTATACCCTAACCCTTACAGGTGCTGTTACATCACATATTCATCATGCTATTATGTATTATTATACCCTAACCCTTACAGGTGCTGTTACAACACATATTCATCATGCTATTATATATTATTATACCCCAACCCTTACAGGTGCTGTTACATCACATATTCATCATGCTATTATATATTATTATACCCCAACCCTTACAGGTGCTGTTACAACACATATTCATCATGCTATTATATATTATTATACCCCAGCCCTTACAGGTGCTGTTACAACACATATTCATCATGCTATTATATATTATTATACCCCAACCCTTACAGGTGCTGTTACATCACAAATTCATCATGCTATTATATATTATTATACCCTAACCCTTACAGGTGCTGTTACAACACATATTCATCATGCTATTATATATTATTATACCCCAACCCTTACAGGTGCTGTTACAACACATATTCATCATGCTATTATATATTATTATACCCCAACCCTTACAGGTGCTGTTACAACACATATTCATCATACTATTATATATTATTATACCCTAACCCTTACAGGTGCTGTTACAACACATATTCATCATGCTATTATATATTATTATACCCCAACTCTTACAGGTGCTGTTACATCACATATTCATCATGCTATTATATATTATTATACCCCAACCCTTACAGGTGCTGTTACATCACATATTCATCATGCTATTATATATTGTTATACCCCAACCCTTACATGTGCTGTTACAACACATATTCATCATGCTATTATATATTATTATACCCTAACCCTTACAGGTGCTGTTACAACACACATTCATCATGCTATTATATATTATTATACCCCAACCCTTACAGGTGCTGTTACAACACATATTCATCATGCTATTATATATTATTATACCCCAACCCTTACAGGTGCTGTTACAACACACATTCATCATGCTATTATATATTATTATACCCCAACCCTTACAGGTGCTGTTACAACACATATTCATCATGCTATTATATATTATTATACCCTAACCCTTACAGGTGCTGTTACAACACATATTCATCATGCTATTATATATTATTATACCCCAACCCTTACAGGTGCTGTTACAACACATATTCATCATGCTATTATATATTATTATACCCCAACCCTTACAGGTGCTGTTACAACACATATTCATCATGCTATTATATATTATTATACCCCAACCCTTACAGGTGCTGTTACAACACACATTCATCATGCTATTATATATTATTATACCCCAACCCTTACAGGTGCTGTTACAACACATATTCATCATGCTATTATATATTATTATACCCTAACCCTTACAGGTGCTGTTACAACACATATTCATCATGCTATTATATATTATTATACCCCAACCCTTACAGGTGCTGTTACAACACATATTCATCATGCTATTATATATTATTATACCCCAACCCTTACAGGTGCTGTTACAACACATATTCATCATGCTATTATATATTATTATACCCCAACCCTTACAGGTGCTGTTACAACACACGTTCATCATGCTATTATATATTATTATACCCCAGCCCTTACAGGTGCTGTTACAACACACGTTCATCATGCTATTATATATTATTATACCCCAACCCTTACAGGTGCTGTTACAACACACATTCATCATTCTATTATATATTATTATACCCCAACCCTTACAGGTGCTTTTACAACACATATTCATCATGCTATTATATATTATTATACCCCAACCCTTACATGTGCTGTTACAACACACATTCATCATGCTATTATATATTATTATACCCCAACCCTTACAGGTGCTGTTACAACACATATTCATCATGCTATTATATATTATTATACCCCAACCCTTACAGGTGCTGTTACAACACACATTCATCATGCTATTATATATTATTATACCCCAACCCTTACAGGTGCTGTTACAACACACATTCATCATGCTATTATATATTATTATACCCCAACCCTTACAGGTGCTGTTACAACACATATTCATCATGCTATTATATATTATTATACCCCAACCCTTACATGTGCTGTTACAACACACATTCATCATGCTATTATATATTATTATACCCCAACCCTTACAGGTGCTGTTACAACACATATTCATCATGCTATTATATATTATTATACCCCAACCCTTACAGGTGCTGTTACAACACACATTCATCATGCTATTATATATTATTATACCCCAACCCTTACAGGTGCTGTTACAACACATATTCATCATGCTATTATATATTATTATACCCCAACCCTTACAGGTGCTGTTACAACACATATTCATCATGCTATTATATATTATTATACCCCAACCCTTACATGTGCTGTTACAACACACATTCATCATGCTATTATATATTATTATACCCCAACCCTTACAGGTGCTGTTACAACACATATTCATCATGCTATTATATATTATTATACCCCAACCCTTACAGGTGCTGTTACAACACATATTCATCATGCTATTATATATTATTATACCCCAACCCTTACAGGTGCTGTTACAACACACATTCATCATGCTATTATATATTATTATACCCCAACCCTTACAGGTGCTGTTACAACACATATTCATCATGCTATTATATATTATTATACCCCAACCCTTACAGGTGCTGTTACAACACACATTCATCATGCTATTATATATTATTATACCCCAACCCTTACAGGTGCTGTTACAACACATATTCATCATGCTATTATGTATTATTATACCCTAACCCTTACAGGTGCTGTTACATCACATATTCATCATGCTATTATGTATTATTATACCCTAACCCTTACAGGTGCTGTTACAACACATATTCATCATGCTATTATATATTATTATACCCCAACCCTTACAGGTGCTGTTACATCACATATTCATCATGCTATTATATATTATTATACCCCAACCCTTACAGGTGCTGTTACAACACATATTCATCATGCTATTATATATTATTATACCCCAACCCTTACAGGTGCTGTTACAACACATATTCATCATGCTATTATATATTATTATACCCCAACCCTTACAGGTGCTGTTACATCACAAATTCATCATGCTATTATATATTATTATACCCTAACCCTTACAGGTGCTGTTACAACACATATTCATCATGCTATTATATATTATTATACCCCAGCCCTTACAGGTGCTGTTACAACACACGTTCATCATGCTATTATATATTATTATACCCCAACCCTTACAGGTGCTGTTACATCACAAATTCATCATGCTATTATATATTATTATACCCTAACCCTTACAGGTGCTGTTACAACACATATTCATCATGCTATTATATATTATTATACCCCAGCCCTTACAGGTGCTGTTACAACACACGTTCATCATGCTATTATATATTATTATACCCCAACCCTTACAGGTGCTGTTACAACACACATTCATCATGCTATTATATATTATTATACCCCAACCCTTACAGGTGCTGTTACAACACATATTCATCATGCTATTATATATTATTATACCCCAACCCTTACAGGTGCTGTTACAACACATATTCATCATGCTATTATATATTATTATACCCTAACCCTTACAGGTGCTGTTACAACACATATTCATCATGCTATTATATATTATTATACCCCAACCCTTACAGGTGCTGTTACATCACATATTCATCATGCTATTATATATTATTATACCCCAACCCTTACAGGTGCTGTTACATCACATATTCATCATGCTATTATATATTATTATACCCCAACCCTTACATGTGCTGTTACAACACATATTCATCATGCTATTATATATTATTATACCCTAACCCTTACAGGTGCTGTTACAACACACATTCATCATGCTATTATATATTATTATACCCCAACCCTTACAGGTGCTGTTACAACACATATTCATCATGCTATTATATATTATTATACCCCAACCCTTACAGGTGCTGTTACAACACATATTCATCATGCTATTATATATTATTATACCCCAACCCTTACAGGTGCTGTTACAACACATATTCATCATGCTATTATATATTATTATACCCTAACCCTTACAGGTGCTGTTACAACACACATTCATCATGCTATTATATATTATTATACCCCAACCCTTACAGGTGCTGTTACAACACACATTCATCATGCTATTATATATTATTATACCCCAACCCTTACAGGTGCTGTTACAACACATATTCATCATGCTATTATATATTATTATACCCTAACCCTTACAGGTGCTGTTACAACACATATTCATCATGCTATTATATATTATTATACCCCAACCCTTACAGGTGCTGTTACAACACATATTCATCATGCTATTATATATTATTATACCCCAACCCTTACAGGTGCTGTTACAACACATATTCATCATGCTATTATATATTATTATACCCCAACCCTTACAGGTGCTGTTACAACACACATTCATCATGCTATTATATATTATTATACCCCAGCCCTTACAGGTGCTGTTACAACACATATTCATCATGCTATTATATATTATTATACCCCAACCCTTACAGGTGCTGTTACAACACATATTCATCATGCTATTATATATTATTATACCCCAACCCTTACAGGTGCTGTTACAACACATATTCATCATGCTATTATATATTATTATACCCCAACCCTTACAGGTGCTGTTACAACACATATTCATCATGCTATTATATATTATTATACCCCAACCCTTACAGGTGCTGTTACAACACATATTCATCATGCTATTATTTATTATTATACCCCAACCCTTACAGGTGCTGTTACAACACACATTCATCATGCTATTATATATTATTATACCCCAACCCTTACAGGTGCTGTTACAACACATATTCATCATGCTATTATATATTATTATACCCCAACCCTTACAGGTGCTGTTACAACACATATTCATCATGCTATTATATATTATTATACCCCAACCCTTACAGGTGCTGTTACAACACATATTCATCATGCTATTATATATTATTATACCCCAACCCTTACAGGTGCTGTTACAACACATATTCATCATGCTATTATATATTATTATACCCCAACCCTTACAGGTGCTGTTACAACACATATTCATCATGCTATTATTTATTATTATACCCCAACCCTTACAGGTGCTGTTACATCACATATTCATCATGCTATTATATATTATTATACCCTAACCCTTACAGGTGCTGTTACAACACATATTCATCATGCTATTATATATTATTATACCCCAGCCCTTACAGGTGCTGTTACAACACATATTCATCATGCTATTATATATTGTTATACCCCAACCCTTACAGGTGCTGTTACAACACATATTCATATTCATTTGTATATTTAACTTAATTTTGTTTTTTTTATTCGCCAGTAATCATGTTTTAACGGAAGACATCATATTTCGGGAAGTCACTCCAGACAACTGCCTGATGTCCAGACGTCTCTTGACCAAAACCAGCCGGGCTCCTCGCTGGGCGGAGAGGTTTCTGCCCGCACACATGGCCCAGAAGGCCTACATCATCGAGGACTCAGTGGTGGATCCTCAGGGCCGGACCATGACCACCCTCACCTGGAACATCAGCCACGCTCGAGTGATGGTGCGCCGTCTCTCTCTCACACACACACACACACACAGCTGCTCCACAACACGTCTGATAACACACCTTCAGTTCAGATTTTACACAAAACACAATGAAGCCTATTTTTAATATGTTGTACACTTAATTTCCCCTTTTTATTTCTGAAATGGAACAAAAACTGATTAATTATAGCTGATCATTTTAAATAAGATAAACATTGTGTCTAGATTTTCATTACTGCATTACAGTAGAATAAATAAGAGTTTATTAAATAAAACATTTGAATCGATGAAAAAAATAAGAATCGGGGTGGAAATATTTGAAATATGACATGTTGAAAAACAACATGAGCTGACAGTGGCCGAGAGCTGCTTTAAAGGGGTCATATTATGCCATTTTTGTACAAGCTAATATGATTCTTTAGGGTCTAAATTAAAAGTTTGTAATATACTTTAATTAAAAATTCTCATTAGTATTGTAAGAAAACAGTTATTTTACCTGGTCAAAAACAGCTGTTTTCAGCACGCCGTTTCAGTGCATATGACTTTAAATGATCATGAGCTTTGCTGACCCCGCCTCTCTGTTCTGTGTGTACACGTTTGTAACACAATAACCATAACGCGTTGTTCATTATAAACGTGGGATTATGAATTATATTGAGAACGTCGTACATAGAAAACATGCCGTAATGTACCCTGAGTGTAAACCTTAGACGCATTCATTGTGAAGCGTGCAAGCGATTGGCAAAGATATAAATATTAATATAAAGGTTAATAAAACGTTACACTCACTTCAGTTGTTCTGGAGGTTCAGCAGGAACACGAATATCTGGTACCGATCCTTTATTCATGAGCAGCTTCTTAGCAAATCCAGCTTTATAATGACCCTCGTTTATAAAGCAGTCTGGTGAGAAATGATTCGCGCAAACATGAACGCATTAACATTGCTCGTGGGGAATATTCCCTTCGAAAACAAACTCAGCCACTGCGTCTTCAGCGGTTCGGATTCAGGAACATTAAAATGACTGTGTTCGTTATTACACCCAAGAACAGAACACCACAATCGCTTAGAGCCATTCTGCTCATAGACAGTGCTCCAGCATATCAACAATGACCGCGCCGATCCGCGCAGACTATGATTGACAGCTCTCACAAGCGAGGGCGGGTCTGGGTTGAAACGCTGCTGTCAATCAACAATCGCGGGAGGGGCTTCTGTGACGTCACACGGTCGAACGGCTTGATTTGAGGCAGGGGAAAACATATAAGGAGATTAAAACAAAAACACTGGATGGATTTTTATCATGATGGTTGTGTACAGACACTGCCAACACACATTTCAGTACAATCAACTTGTAAAAGTGCATGTACCATTATATGACCCCTTTAAAGAGGACCTGTGATGCTTTTTACAAACTCTTGCTGTAGTTTCAGGCTCTACTAGAACAGGTTTTCCTGCTTGAATGTTGATTATTCTCCTCATATTCTCCATTGTTGCGGCTCCTCTCTTCCCAGTCTGTCAGTAACGCTCTGTTCACTTCCTGTCTCTATGAAGCCCCTCCTTCTGAAAGCACACTGTGCTCTGATTGGTCGGCTGGAGCAGTGTGTTGTGATTGGTCGAGCGCTTCGAGTGTGTTTGGGAATGTCCCGCCCCTTTCCATAACCACCAGTTTAACACACTACTGACTAACTCAACCAGGCCCCGCCCCTTTATTCTGCTTATGAATTATTATAATGAGGAATATTGTGACGTGTTCGTTCCCGGAAGAAACTCAAGACTACAATGGAGGCGTTTCAGGAGTTCAGGAACACTGACACTGATATAGAGGAGAACTGGAGCTTTCTCATGATCACACAGCAACATCACACACTAAACACAGATGAACAAAAGCAGAACATGTCCTCTCTAAAGACTCTTCTCTGACGGGGTTTCATTATCCGATATATAAAAAAGACTAATAAATGCTAATTTTTGACTAATAATTGTTGTGTGTGTGTAGAGCGTGCAGGAACGGTGTGTGTATAAGGTGAACCCTGAGAACAGCAGCTGGACTGAGATCGAGAGAGAGGCCTGGGTTTCCTCCAGACTGTACGGCCTCTCTAAAGCGGTTCAGGTCAGTGTGTGCTCATCTCAGAGAAGATTTTATTTATTTATTTACATTTATTATTATCATCAAAGAAATCATGATAAAAAAAATTCAGGATTCTTTGATTAGAAATTTCAAAAGAACAGCATTTATTTGAGATAGAAATATTTAGTAACATGCGTTTGAGTAAGTTTCTTCAGTCTGGATGGATGTTCACGTGTGGTGTTTAGTGTGCAGTCCACTTGTCTCACTCAGTCTATTCAGAGTGTTTCCATCTTTATCCCATTTTCAGGAATTCGGACTTGCCCGGTTTAAGAGCAACGTTACCAAGACCATGAAAGGCTTTGAGTTCATCCTGGCCAAGATGCAGGGTAAGATGCCAGCCAGAGTCCAAGTGTACAGTAGCGGTTTAAAGGAGCAGTTCAAATCTCCTGATGATTTACTCATCCAAGAAGATGTTCATGTGTTTCTTTCTGCAGTCGAGAAGAAATGAAGGTTTTTGAGGAACACACTCCAGGTGTTTCTCCATATAGTGTCTTCAATGGGGTCCAACGGGTCGAAGGTCCAGATGTGAGTTTCAGTGCAGCTTCAGAGTCTCGACACGATCCAGCCGAGGAATAAGAGTCTGATCTAGACAAACCAGCCGACATTTATAACACAATACACATTTATATACTTTTATCCACTAATGCTGGTCTTGCACTCGCTGTGATGCGACCAAGCGGCAACATTCTAATCTGAAAAATGAAGCCTACCCGGAAGTGCGAAAAACTGCAATACATCGAAAATCCGCTAGAGGGAGGTCCCAAAAGGGAGCAAATATCCATAGACCGCATGTTAAAATGTCCGTTTTCACAGCATAAATTTATATGTTTACATGTTGGTCCCATGGACTTTTATTGTATTTTAGGATAGGTCCCGAGTGCCTGACAACTGTGAGGGGGGTGAATTTTTTTCTAACTCGGTAGTTTAGACCGTATTTAGATATAAAATGTATGACAAATAAGCGCGTGATTGACAGCTGATAACGAGTTGCGCCGAGTGGAATTCCTGAAAATTTGAAAATTCCTGAAAATTTGACGTCTCGGCCATGATCTGACACAACACATCACACCACCTCTGTATCCTTTCTGAACATTTGTATTTGAAATATCGTAAGATTTTCCAAGATGGCACCGCCCATACCCCCCATAAACAGCCTCAAAACCGTTCTTCAGAAAGTCTATGGGTGACGTCACAGACGCTTTGTCCATATTTTTTACAGTCTATGGATGCGACACACATTACGTGATCAGGGTGAAAGGTCAAGCGTGACGTAGGTGTAAGAACAGACCCAGTGTTTACAGAGCCAACCTGCAAAGACTAAGTCAAACGCCATTTACAAAAAAATAGAAGGTGAAACAATGTCGGACGATTATGAAGTTGGAGGAGAAATTGAGTGTTTTTCGCCCTTCCCTTCATTTATAAACCGGAACACGCTTGACCTTTCACCCTGATTGCGTAATGTGTGTCGCATCACAGCGAGTGCAAGACCAGCATTAGTGGATAAAAGTATATAAATGTGTATTTTGTTATAAATGTCGGCTGGTTTGTCTAGATCAGACTCTTATTCCTCGGCTGGATCGTGTCGAGACTTTGAAGCTGCACTGAAACTCACATCTGGACCTTCGACCCGTTGGACCCCATTGAAGACACTATATGGAGAAACATCTGGAGTGTGTTCCTCAAAAACCTTCATTTCTTTTCCACTGCAGAAAGAAAGACATGAACATCCTAGACAACGTGGGGGCGAGTAAATCATCAGTAAATGTTAATTGTGAAGGAATGCTTTAAGTGTTGGATCTGGCTCTCCTGCAGGTGACGCTCCCACACGGACGCTAGCAGAGACCGCGACAGTGAAGGCTCGTGAGACTGCGCTCGCGGCTAAAGTGAAGGCTAAGGATCTAGCGTCTCAAGCGCAGAAGAAGCAGTATGTATGATGAAGAAACACACGGCTCTTCCAGCGCTGACGGCTCGTGTCATTCCCACACATTTGCCTCTGGATCTCAGTGTGGATTTAGTGAAACCAATGTGCTCTTCGCCTGAAACCCTCCAGTGAACTCGGTTTAATGCGGCAACATCCTCCTCCTGCTTCATCAAGTCAGATTTTACATGAGACTTTGCATTGTTTTGATTGCTAAATTAATTTTTTCTGATTTTGTTGTACTTCCATCATTGTCTCCTTGAATCTTCATATTCACTCAATGTGATTTGCTGCTTCAAATTGAAGTTCTATGATTGACGGTCCACGGTTCCAGCAGTCATTGCCGGCGCCATTACAAGGGAATTATTGTGAAAATAATGAATAATTAGGGCTTGTGAAAGTTGTCTCAGAAGGCCAGATGTCGAGTGTTAGAAACAAGAAATGCATTTAATGCAAAGGAGAGGTAGCTTATATAATGTTTTATAACTCTTAACAATTGTTTGTGTTCAACCGTTGTCACCAATAAATATTTTCTATATATCTGACATATTGTTCTCTTATTTGTGATTTCCTTTGCACTGTGATCACTATCGTTATGAATCAATGCCAGTGTTTGTAACACTAAGACTTGTGCTGGTCTTTTCTCCTCTATTGTGTCGTTTATCGAGTGAATCGCTTCAGGAACAAGAACACATGTGGGCGGGGCTTGATTGTGTCTGTGGGGAGTTGATTGGACAGTTGTGGTTTGCTATTGGCTGATCTCATGTGAGTGACAGGTTATAGCCCCGCCCCCCTCATCAGAGACGTTTTCAAAAACTTGCACTTTGAAACTGATTTCAAAAGCTTTGTTTACCGTAAAATAAAAAACAATAACACTTAAATAATAAGCAATAAAAACAGCAAACAATGTGATGTTTAAAGTAATTTTTCCTTATTCGTATGGTTGAATTGGATCATCAAAGGTCAGGATTAAAGTCCCCCTGTGGTGTAAATCCAGCTTTTAATGTTGTTTATGTGTCTATGTGGTGTTTTTAATATGCTTTAAGACACACCATGTGTAAGTTCATAAGTCGACAGCATTGCTGAGTATTTTCTGCTTAAAACTGCAGTGAACCAAAGACAGTCTCAAAAACACGGTTTGAAATCGCTGGTGTTTCTGACGTCACAAACGACCTTGTAACCAATCAGATCAACGTGTGATCGTCAACCAGTGGATCTCTGAGCTGAGGGAGTGAGTGGAGGCGGGGCTCATTTGCATATTCATAGAACCGCGCATACTCAACGAGGCAAGGGTGTCGAGTTACATTCATTTGGTCATTTTGGTGAGTTTTAAGGGATACAATCATTGACTAGAGGGGGACTTTAAAGACTGGTTTATGAAGTCAGATTAAATACACAGTGTTATTTAGCATTTAATTATTGCAGGTTTGCGAAATAATCCGAGTTTGCATTTCACAGTTTTTATTCATTTCTAGTAATACTAAATCGGTTTTGAGTAAATGATACGATTAAATGCATGCTTACATTGCACCTACAATCCCCATCATATTACTCTCAACAAGAGGAAACAATAGAGCTGGCCGTTATTACATGGGAAACAAAGTTACTTATTTAAAAAAGTAACATTTTGTAGTAAATTTAAAAGTAACGTGTTACTTTACTAATTACTTAAAGGTAATCTGATTACATAATTACTCAAGTTATTAATAATTTGTTACTCCCAACACTGGTCACTATAGTAACTATAAATTCTGCATAATAATATGCAACTAATAACACGTAGTAATTAATATTACTCCATACTTAAATGTATAATTACACTGTAACAAGGACACATTAAGATAACGTGTGCAAATTATTTATAATAACATGCAATATTCCATAACAACAAAATACAAGAATTGGCAACTTTGGCATCAGCGCGCTCATTTTCCTCAGAAATGATGAATATTTCAAAGATTAATATGTTCCCGGCCGGTTTGAATACGAGGCTGTTTAACTAGTCTAACGTGTCACAATCAAGTTTACAGTTTCAAATGCATAACACATACAAAAACCACAAGTCAAATTAAATACATAAAATATTTATTTGTACAAAATGCTTATGTTGGTAAAAAAGAATAAAATGCTACATATGAGTACAAGGAGAGACATAAATACAAAGGTGTTCCTGGTCCAATGACATACGAATCATTCATAAGGCTTTTGGTGTTCAGAACTGTACATCTGTGTACATTAGCACAATTACTGTACATCTTAAACAAAAGGCATGTTCATAATAGTTTGCATAAATGACTGATAAGAGCATATACTGAACAGTTCATGAATACAGCCGGTGTATTTTGTCGAGACTACCAACATACTGAATTGTGGTTACTAAAATCATGAGCAGACTAACACATCTCAGAGGGAAAATGATGAAAATCCACTATACAAATGTAAAAAAAATAATAGTATAAAGACTTAAAAACACTTCACTGTTTTCTGTTTCTGTAGGGTTCAACATAATAGCTTGTTGATGTGTGTGAACAGCACCAACTTCAGTTCACCAGAGTGAACCAAAGCACAGGACCAAACCAAGAAACGCCAAGATGACACGGATAGCGGATTATTATAACTCACCTGAACCCTCACCCAATAACACACTCGCGGAAGAAAAGAAAATCAAACGCACTGTTGCAAAAGAAAGCATTATTTCCTTCTGAATCGCAGCATTAATTAGCCTCCCCCAATTATTATTCATTTTTCAATTAGAAAGTAACAGTTTGATCAAATGCGTTGACATAATCTGCAATCTCACACATTAGGAACAACACACACATCTAAAGAGACATCGCAAGTGCTCATGCGTATGCTTTGTGCAACGTATCAAAACTCAGGGTTAAATAAGCCGGGTGTTGAAACATGTAAGTGCAAGCGGGTGTGAACGCCGACGCCGGACAGAAGAAGAAGAGTCAGAGTGACATCACTCAGAGGAGCTGGTCATCAGCGCTGCGATCTCGAGTGTGTGTCGCATACAGAGCACAGTATATTCCAGTCGTGCTCAGGCGTCTGCTGATGTGTTCAGTGTCAGGAACACAAGGCTGTTCTGTGATGAAGATGATGAAGAAGATGAGCATCAGTCATAACCAGCTGTGGTCAGATGAAGAGTAACTGTGGTCCACTCCGGTGTGAGACGACACCAGACCGTCACACTCCAGCGTCCACACCATACTCTCCACGTCTATCTCCACGTCCTCTGCAAACACACACACCAGATCAGTGTTACACACTACAGTAGGCTTGAGAACAAAACACACTAAAACTTTAGGAGCTGATAGATATTCTGGTCTTCAACACGTCCTCTCAGTCAGTTACCAGGAGTGTTTGCTAGATAGTAGTTTTGGGCGCGTGTGAACGTCATGGCAACGAACATCACAAGTACCTCACGCGGGAAACACTCAAAGTAACATATGACAATGAGTCATTGAATCATTCACTCAACCGATTCATTCCGGAACGAACCAACTGTCAGAAGTCACTGAATCATTGACTCACTCGATTCATTCAAACAGCCGATTCATTCCTGAACAAACCAACTGTCAGAAGTCACTGAATCATTGACTAAATCGATTCACTCAAACAGCTGATTCATTCCTGAACAAACCAACTGTCAGAAGTCACTGAATCATTGACTCAATCGATTCATTCAAACAGCTGATTCATTCCTGAACAAACCAACTGTCAGAAGTCACTGAATCATTGACTCACTCGATTCATTCAAACAGCCGATTCATTCCTGAACAAACCAACTGTCAGAAGTCACTGAATCATTGACTAAATCGATTCACTCAAACAGCTGATTCATTCCTGAACAAACCAACTGTCAGAAGTCACTGAATCATTGACTCAATCGATTCATTCAAACAGCTGATTCATTCCTGAACAAACCAACTGTCAGAAGTCACTGAATCATTGACTCAATCGATTCATTCAAACAGCTGATTCATTCAAACAGCTGATTCATTCTGGAACAAACCAACTGTCAGAAGTCACTGAATCATTGACTTAACTCGATTCGTTCAAACAGCCGATTCATTCTGGAACAAACCAACTGTCAGAAGTCACTGAATCATTGACTAACTCGATTCATTCAAACAGCTGATTCATTCTGGAACAAACCAACTGTCAGAAGTCACTGAATCATTGACTCAATCGATTCATTCAAACAGCTGATTCATTCAAACAGCTGATTCATTCTGGAACAAACCAACTGTCAGAAGTCACTGAATCATTGACTTAACTCGATTCGTTCAAACAGCCGATTCATTCTGGAACAAACCAACTGTCAGAAGTCACTGAATCATTGACTAACTCGATTCATTCAAACAGCTGATTCATTCTGGAACAAACCAACTGTCAGAAGTCACTGAATCATTGACTAACTCGATTCATTCAAACAGCTGATTCATTCTGGAACAAACCAACTGTCAGAAGTCACTGAATCATTGACTAACTCGATTCATTCAAACAGCTGATTCATTCTGGAACAAACCAACTGTCAGAAGTGACTGAATCATTGACTAACTCGATTCATTCAAACAGCCGATTCATTCTGGAACAAACCAACTGTCAGAAGTCACTGAATCATTGACTAACTCGATTCGTTCAAACAGCCGATTCATTCTGGAACAAACCGACTGTCAGAAGTCACTGAATCATTGACTAACTCGATTCATTCAAACAGCTGATTCATTCTGGAACAAACCAACTGTCAGAAGTCACTGAATCATTGACTAACTCGATTCATTCAAACAGCCGATTCATTCTGGAACAAACCAGCTGTCAGAAGTCACTGAATCATTGACTAACTCGATTCGTTCAAACAGCCGATTCATTCTGGAACAAACCAACTGTCAGAAGTCACTGAATCATTGACTAACTCGATTCGTTCAAACAGCCGATTCATTCTGGAACAAACCAACTGTCAGAAGTCACTGAATCATTGACTAACTCGATTCATTCAAACAGCTGATTCATTCTGGAACAAACCAACTGTCAGAAGTCACTGAATCATTGACTAACTCGATTCATTCAAACAGCCGATTCATTCTGGAACAAACCAGCTGTCAGAAGTCACTGAATCATTGACTAACTCGATTCGTTCAAACAGCCGATTCATTCTGGAACAAACCAACTGTCAGAAGTCACTGAATCATTGACTAACTCGATTCGTTCAAACAGCCGATTCATTCTGGAACAAACCAACTGTCAGAAGTCACTGAATCATTGACTAACTCGATTCGTTCAAACAGCCGATTCATTCTGGAACAAACCAACTGTCAGAAGTCACTGAATCATTGACTAACTCGATTCATTCAAACAGCCGATTCATTCTGGAACAAACCAACAGTCAGAAGTCACTGAATCATTGACTAACTCGATTCATTCAAACAGCTGATTCATTCCTGAACAAACCAACTGTCAAAAGTCACTGAATCATTGACTAACTCGATTCACTCAAACAGCTGATTCATTCCTGAACAAACCAACTGTCAGAAGTCACTGAATCATTGACTCACTCGGTTCATTCAAACAGCCGATTCATTCCTGAACAAACCAACTGTCAGAAGTCACTGAATCATTGACTCACTCGATTCATTCAAACAGCTGATTCATTCAAACAGCTGATTCATTCCTGAACAAACCAACTGTCAGAAGTCACTGAATCATTGACTAACTCGATTCGTTCAAACAGCCGATTCATTCTGGAACAAACCAACTGTCAGAAGTCACTGAATCATTGACTAACTCGATTCATTCAAACAGCTGATTCATTCTGGAACAAACCAGCTGTCAGAAGTCACTGAATCATTGACTAACTCGATTCGTTCAAACAGCCGATTCATTCTGGAACAAACCAACTGTCAGAAGTCACTGAATCATTGACTAACTCGATTCATTCAAACAGCCGATTCATTCTGGAACAAACCAACAGTCAGAAGTCACTGAATCATTGACTAACTCGATTCATTCAAACAGCTGATTCATTCCTGAACAAACCAGCTGTCAGAAGTCACTGAATCATTGACTAACTCGATTCATTCAAACAGCTGATTCATTCCTGAACAAACCAACTGTCAAAAGTCACTGAATCATTGACTAACTCGATTCACTCAAACAGCTGATTCATTCCTGAACAAACCAACTGTCAGAAGTCACTGAATCATTGACTCACTCGGTTCATTCAAACAGCCGATTCATTCCTGAACAAACCAACTGTCAGAAGTCACTGAATCATTGACTCACTCGATTCATTCAAACAGCTGATTCATTCAAACAGCTGATTCATTCCTGAACAAACCAACTGTTAGAAGTGACTGAATCATTGACTCACTCGATTCATTCAAACAGCTGATTCATTCAAACAGCTGATTTATTCAAACAGCTGATTCATTCCTGAACAAACCAACTGTTAGAAGTGACTGAATAATTAACTCACTAGATTCATTCAAACAGCTGATTCATTCAAACAGCTGATTCATTCCGGAACGAACCAACTGTCAGAAGTCACTGAATCATTGACTCACTCGATTCGTTAAGAACCCTGGATTAATTTAGCCGCGAAACACCGCTGTGTGACGCACGACAGCTCTGTTCACCCTTTTAAGTGGCGAAATGCAGCAAAAACAGCCAATATTGTGTTTAAAATGTAACAATATTAACTTCTGGTTTATTGAACTATTGAATAAATCAATATCACATTTACAATTATGCAAATCTGTCAAAAACAGCACTCTAGTGTGATAATGCTAAACTATATCATGATAAATATAAGGCAAAACCCTATACGGAGACATTTTTTGCCCTCATATTTTGATCAGGCTTGATCAGGCATTGTAAGACGCACAGGTCAGAATATCAGGGTTCGTACAGATACAGTTAAATGAAATCACAAGACTCGAGGACTTTAAGCACTACTTTTTTGGGTTTCAAGGAATACAATCAGAGATCTCACTTATCAAACAATATCTTTATTATCTTTCAAAAAAAAAAAAAAGGTAAATAGATAAATAAATATATATTAATAAAACAAAATGGTACAAATAAAGTGCAGCGCATGCAATCGTTGTAGTAACTTTAACCATTAAAAGGACACTATGACAAAGATATCGTTATTCTTATTCAAACTGATTTTTTCTCCCTTGAATATATGATTGATCTGAAGAATGAAAGATGTATTATATACTTAATTATATAATCAATATGTGAAATAGCACTATATTATCAGACAGGTGAGAAAATATTTTTTCATAAATCAAATTAAACTCTACTTTCTAATATAGTCTATTGTGTTTTTCAGAAATATGCCTGTTTTCAAGGGTTATCAAGCACTTTAAGCACCTTGTATGAACACTTATATTTACAGCCTTAATTTTATCGTGTCATATTTTCTATAATTGATCACAACACATTTCCGTGTTAAATCTGCCGCCCTGAATAATAAACACGTGACCCTGAAAGCTCATGCATGACCCTAGGTGTGTGTGTGTGTGTGTGTGATGGTCACCTCTCTCCGAGTCGGATCTCTCCGAGGACACGGTGGAGCCCAGGCTGTCGTTCCTCATGCGCTCGGATCCGCCCTGCAGTTTCTCCAGGCGCAGGCGTAACTCTCTCTGCTCCCAGCGCAGACGCCCCTTCAGCAGCTCCGAGCGCTCGTCCTGCTCCTGCAGCTTCTGCACACACACACACACACACACACTCAGACCTCTGCTGTCGCCCCGTACACCACATCTCTCTAATCCATCAATCAGGTCTGAAACCACTTCTGTTGCTTGTTATAACTATATACTTGTTTAATGTTGTTTGTCCGATATCATGTGGGAGACACATGACCTCCATTAGGGCACATTAGGTACAGTAACTTGCTTTGCTTAATTCATTTAATAATACACACACAGCCATGCATGCTCAAATGAGATGTGCTCCTTAAATGCTTGATATGTAGTAGCTGAGTGAGTGGAGGCGGGGCTCATTTGCATATTCATAGAACCGCACATACTAAATGAGGCACGGGTGTCGAGTTACATTCAAGATATTTTAAGGCATGAAGACATTTATTCAAGGAAAAAACATTAAAATATTTCATTTTGGTGATGAAAGATGAGTTTAAGGGATACAATTATTGACTACAGGGGGACTATAAGGCAGTGGCTAAACAAATTATATTTATTTACACAGTAAAAGTAGCAGTGTAAATAGTAGTAAGATGCCATTTATACTATGAGGTGCAAATAGTATCTGCCACTCTCTGCACAAGTATATTGTAAAACAGTATGCAACAACATGTTCAGTTTATAAAATTATTGAAATCATAAATGGATGCCGCCTTATTAGTACATTTCTAGTCCCTGTCCTTAAAGCCGTCCCTACACCTACACAATAAACCCTTTATTCTCATTATTAAATACCCGTTTGGTGCTTTATTTCAACTTTTTTGAATATTTGATGACATTTGTTTAAAATAAACGCCTCTCTGAGCTGATATGTGATGGGTAAAGGCATGTCGAAAGCAAACAGCCCCGCCTCGCACTGTTATCAGACAGGTTTCTTCTGTCATCTTATCTGCCTCCACCAGACACCGGTGCCATGTGCACTTGGTGTGAACACACACTGTTAACTCAGCTCTCTCTGTGGCTCATTAGTCTCTGCTCCAGCACGTTCAACAAGATCCACTCGTCTAAGTCACTAAATTGTAATAACATTTATTATTTATTTCACTATTCATGGTCATTTATGCACTTAAAGCTATGTGGAAATGTGATATCTCTGTGAGTGATTGCGGTACTATACATTTTGCGTATAAAATAACATTATTTGCTGTCAGATATGTATATCTTCTCACTCTAAAACATTAAAAGACTAGACCACCACAACATTAATGTTTCTGATAACATGCCAATTTGGAATTGTATAATGAATTCACTGTTTTGTTTGATACTTTCCTGACAATATGTATTTATTCCTGTGATTTAGGCGTCTTTACTCTTTTGCCCAACAAACTGTAGTTTAAAACAAATTATGTTATGCAAAGATGATAAACTCCCGTGTCATTTATTCATGTGCTCCATTTGAAAACATTAGACTGTGTCAATGCATTTTGCATATTATTGCTTCAGCTGTTATAAAAACATATTAAAATAAATATATCAAAAACATGTTTTTATTATTATGACATGAAAACAGAAGTTAACACTGAATAAATATTGGTTCTCTGACATACGAATAATCTGTATGTGTTGATGTTCTCTGCGTTTGAACCAGAGACTGTATAAATGTGCGTAGTGTGTGTGTGACCGTGACGTCACCCGTAGTGTTTCTGATTGAAGCCTAAAGTGGGCGGGGCCTAATAATAGAAAATGTGCTGAGGTGACGTGACGCTAACACTAGCAGACAAACGGCTAGTAGTGACATCAGAGCAATCCACCTGTCACTCAAGTGGCCACGCCCTTAATTATGCACAACTTTAAGGTTTAATATAATTTAAACGGATGAGTTATTAAAAATATTCACCCCCTCACAGTTTTCATGAAGGCCAAAATTAGCCATATAGACCAAAACCACTTTTTGCACCAGACGGTAAACATGTGTTTTTCTGCTGTAAAGTTGGTCATTTTAACATGGGGGTTTATGGGATTGACTCTCTTCAGCAGCCGGCCTCTAGTGGCCAGTGGAGGAACTGCAGTTTAACTCACTCAGTGTTGGATGAAGAGAGAGACGGGGTTCAGAGGCATGTGTGGGTGAACCGGCTCACCTTGATGTGCAGCTGAGCTTGTCTGAGCAGGTTAAGGGTTGTGTTCCTCGCAGAATCAGAGGACAGAGGAACCTGCTCCTTCAGCTGATCCAGGCAGTGTCTCAGCTGAGCTCTCCTACACACACACACACACACACCTGATACTCAGTGTTCGAGCACTCCAGACCACAGTACACATTTCAGAGCTTCACGCTTTTTAATTGGTGCATAAAAGCAAATTAACTGGGTAAAGTGTGTTACTCAATATGAGCCGTTTAATGACCGGTGGCATGAAAGCGTTGTCACACACACGGATGTCTGTGACTGCATTACAGCTCAACACAACAGTGCGATCGCGAGAGTAAAACGCTGGTTACCTGTGTTTCTCCAACTCGTTGTGAACAGACCTGAAACAGAAACAAATAGCTTTATTTTGCCATAATAGTTGTTCATATTCAGGGTATCAGACATTTATTTTTTTTATAGGATCTGTGCAATTACTACCGTACTATTAACCCCAAAAATGAACATTTGGAACAAATTTCAAAATGCGTCACAATTCATGTACAGTCAAACCAACACACATCTTCAGCATTTCTCACAGTATCAGTTTATTCGCTATAGTTTAGAAAATGGTGATAAACATGAGCAGAACTCAGAGTTCTCAGATCAGTGGATATTTGACTGGTTTTGTCCGTCCTTCTGTTAGACTCTCACACATGAGTTATGTTGAATATCTGTCAGCTGTTCAATTTAACTACACAATTAGAGAATACCAGTTTAGCTCAACCAGTGACCAAGCAATGCTTCATGTTGTTCAGTGTGTGTGTAAAAAGAGCATTAGCAATTACAGAAAACACACTTCAGCAAAACACAATTATTGGTCCCAAATGTTTATAAATGTCACTGGTAGTCACTGTATGAAGAGTTTATGGGTGTAATATGACACAGTTTACTTTATTCTGCTCTCCTCACTTACATAAATGAACTATAGTGTCCGGCACACAAATGATATCTGGTGTCTGAATAATGTTTGGTTTGACTGTACTTATGCACTTGCTGTGTTTTGTAGTGTAATAGAGACATGTTCACACTGGAAATCATAAAGTAAAGAAGTTGACTATAAATATAGGGCTTCATCTGGGACACAACAGGAGTCCTTATTGGGTGAACTAAACGGAAGCAACTATCAATCATGCATTCACATAAAATAGCAAAAGTGAAGGATCGGAGTGCAATCAAATTAAATATTTGCATAAAATTAAATAAATGGTCAATAAACTTGCACAATGGCCAAGAGAGCAGGCATCATGCCTGTGTGTGTGCACCTCACACACTCACCTGCTGTTCCCGGGTGAAAGGCTCTTTGATTTCTGCTTTTTTCTCTTATCTGAGTCTCCTTTGCTGTAGAATGGAAGCACTGAGGCATAACCGTGCTCAGCCTCTGGAAATATACAATACATAACATGAGCCCAGCATACTTCCCTTCGTGCAAGATCCTTAAATACAAGCTATTTTAGACATTTACACTGACATCGGACATTTGCCTGATTATAAATCTAGAGACAGTAGGAGTCTGCTGTATGTCAGCATCTCATCAAATCAGCTGTGTGTGTGTGTGTGAGAGAGAGCGCTTTCTGATTTTGGCGCCATCGAACTACTTGACATAATTTTGAAATCACCGCGTTCCATTCTGTGATCTGTATCCGTTACACATGACGTGTGCTGCTGATACACTGTAACTCGCTTTGGAATAACGGCAGCGCTGCTACATTTTCAAATACGTGACGATTTCGCGCCTTATTGTGTACAATACAGAACTGAAATGTAGGTCACAGAGCCAAACACAATAATATCAGCAATAAAAGCTCTTTTTACCACTCTACAAACACACAAAATAAACATGTGCAACGAAGGAAACACTCCCAACACCTACACGAAGAATTAATTAGTGCAAATATTAACGAAGGTGTATAAAAACACACAAACAGCAGCAGACTGTCCGAAAACGGCTTCGGTTTCAATGCAAACAACCTGAGGAGGAAATAACGCGACTAATACCTCTCTCCTTCCGCTCCAGGTATTCGGCTGCCTGCAGGAGCACTTGGATGTTGCACGAATTTACCTCCATTTCTGACAAACAATGTTGTTTTGAAAGCGCCAAGAGCGACACGGATCTATTGATCTACACAGTGGAGAGTTCGGCTGATCCAGCGCGCCACGTCATAACGCGTCACGCCCTCTTCCACGCTCGCGCGACCGCTCCCTCCTCACACAAAAACAACTAGTGTTTGCGCTTAGCTTCTTCAAATAAAGTAGAGGACAGCTTACACTAGAGATTAGGGGCGAATATTATTTCTCACAAACTCGTGAAGTGAAACTGATCGATCACTGGACAAAATGCGGACTTTTATTTTGACACTCGTTTTCGACTCTCTCCAGAACCTTGCAAAATCGCATATAACTGCAAACATATTTTTGGTAACACTTTACAATACTACCTTAGTTAACACGAACTAAGAATGAACAATACTTCTTCAGCATTTATTAATCTTAGTATATTAATTTCAACATTACGTTATTATAGTCAAAGGTTGTTAATATGCACTGTGAACTAACATGAACAAACAATTAACAGCTGTATTTTTATTAACTAACATTAACAAAGATTAATAAATACTGTACCAAATGTATAGCTCATTGTTAGTTCATGTTAATTAGTACATTAAATAATGTTAACTAATGAACCGTAGAGTGTTAAACCCATATTTTAAACAATTATATTTAGCTTGAACTAAAAATAATAGAAATCGAATGGAATTTAAAATGAATTATTCTGATAAAATACAAATTCATAAATAATAATAATTAAGTCGAGCCATTTGTGTAAACAGATATATAACCATCACGGGTACTTGAGCTAAGAATAAAGGTGCGGATAAACAGATAAAGTGATGAATACAACAATACAATCTATTGACAAGTGAGAACCGGTGAGAATGCAGAGGGCTTTTATTTTGTTACACGTTTTTATTGACGCTCAAGAACACACAAAAATGAAACTTTCATGACACGACATTCACGAATTAAAAAATAAAAATACAATATTCATTCATTAACTAACATTTAATAGTTTACAGAAGGCCTACATGCCATAACTCGTTTTTTTAAAAATTGCAGAACATGTATGATCAGGGAAATGAAACATGGTTGTATCTCTATCAATGAACAATAGCAACAACATATCCTGGATTTGCGTACATCAAAATATATAATTACTCTGAAAAGAAAAGAAAAGATAAAAAGATGAAAAGAGAAGAAAAGCACAATAATACGGTTAAATAATATTGAATAAGTCGTCATAATGCATCAAACATTTTTCACTCTTTTTGTTATTTATAAGTCTAAGGGATGAAATAAAAGAGTTAAATCCAGCAAGAAAAGGAGGAAAGTGTAAAGGAGACTTAAGCCATTTTTGCTTGTGAATGAACGGTGAATGAAGCATTTCGCATATTACAGATTAACAACACCACAATTTAAAAAAATTAAAATTATTCAACAATTGCACAGTTTACAGGAACGTTCATCTCCATTATAAAAATAATACATTGTGCAGTTTCCAACATTGCGGGTGTTTTAATAACATAAACAAAACATAAACAAAAGACTCACATCATCACATTTTGCCAGGGGAAGTGCGGATTTACAAAAAGATATCAAATTGTTTACACACATTCACAGTTTTTGTTGCCTTTTGATTAAGAGAATACTTAATCGTGTTGACATATTGCTTGACCTCATTGTTAAAAGCAATAAAAGATGTTTTGGAATGCGCAAACTTACATTTATGAGAATGTAAAAATTTGCCAAGAGAATAATGAGAATAATAATGAAGGTTTCATTAGGCCTAGTCTTAGTTCTGTTGAGGTCATAAAGGCCAAAAAGAACATCCTTCCAAAACAACTTGAAATCTTTCTCAATTTTTTTTCTGCAATAAAATTACGAATATCAGACCAGAAACTTTGGACAAAAAGGCAGTGCCAAAACAAATGGGTAACTTTAACAACACCATAATGTATCTCGCCTTTGCACCGGAAGTGACGTCACTCGCGTCGGTTTGTTATGCGCACCAGCTGACCATCAGCCAGAGCCTACAGACAGCGCTGCTCACACACGCACACACACATTATCATTCCCCGGAATCACGAACATAACATCGTTATCGCAGTATGAGGAGTAAATCGTGTCGGGACAGGGAGTGTGTGTGAATGAGGACCGCGGAGGGTTCGGTCCGTCGCGCAGCATCGAGCCACGAAACCCAGGCCTGCTCAAGTGTTTATATAATTATATCATACGATGGAAGCGATTCCCTGCTTCGGAAGTAGTTCGCTGGATGTTAGTCTCGCCGGAGACATATAAGCGCGTCGTGATACCGTACTGCCAACGAGAACCTCCCGTCCGCGAGAAACATGTGGTGGAAACTGTTCTTTTTGCTCCTGTATTTCTTCATGCTGTTCATCCTGGCTCGGTTCTTCGAAGCCGTCGTCTGGTACGAGACTGGGATCTTCGCCACACAGCTGGTGGACCCAGTGACACTGAGCTTCAGGAGGCTGAAGACCATCCTGGAGTGCCGGGGACTGGGTTACTCGGGCCTGGCGGAGAAGAGGGATGTGCGGGAGCTGGTGGAGAACTCGGGTGAGTGTGTGTGTGTGTTATGTGTGTTTGAGTCACACACACGCATGTTCTGTGGACTGATTTTACCCGTGTTGTGCTCCTGAAGGTGAGCTGATGCAAGGCGAGCTGTATTCTGCCATCAAGAACGAGGAACAGCAGACTGGGTCTGACTCCAGCACATCTTTCAGCGGAGAAATGCACTTCTATGAGTTAGTGGAGGACACTAAAGATGGCATCTGGCTAGTTCAGGTTAGTATTGATCTGCAGAATCCCTGACAATATCCAAAGATAGATCAAAGTGACATTACATTAACCAATCATTCAGAACCGTCCTGTTCGAGCCTTAAAGGGTTAGTTCACCCAAAAATGAATGACTCTCCCTGATGTCGCTCCAAGCCCGTCAGACCTCCGTTCATCTTCAGAACACAGTTTAAGATATTTTAGATTTAGTCCGAGAGCTTTCTGTCCCTCCAGTGTAAATGTATGTACGGTATACTGTCCTTGTCCAGAAAGGAAATAAAGACATCATCAAAGTATCAATGTGACATCAGTGGGTTAGTCCATGTGACATCAGTGGGTTAGTTAGAGTGTGTTGAAGCATCGGAAATACATTTTGCTCCAAAAATAACAGAAACTAGGACTTTATTCAGCATTGTATTGTCTTCTGGTTTGCTTATGGTTGAATTGGATCATCAAAGGTTAGCAGCAAAGTGAGATGAGTAAATGCTCACGTTAGTCTAGAACTACAATCCCCATCATGTTCACACACACACTGCACTTACCCACAATCCCTCTCTACATGCGGACAGGAGAGCCGTCAGTCTATACATGGGAAACTGCGTTACTTAGTTGGGAAACTAACACATATTTTGTTGTAAAAGTAATGCATCACTTGACTAGTTACTTCAAAAAGTAATCTGATTACATAACTTGCGTTCCCAAAACTGGTTTTGTTTCTTCACTCTCACGCGAGTCAGTCTGAACCGACGTTTAGTGGAGAAATGTTCAGTTTTTCCCATGCAACAATATCTTATAGTAATATCCAAACGGACACAAACATTTGTTAGTTTTTTACAGTCGCTAGGACACATTTCTCAATACTTAGGTCACTTTTTCAAAACTCTTCACACAGTGAGCACAACAGAAGTATATGTGGGCTAAACTGTGGATCATTTATCATTGCTTTGGCACAAAATGCATTCAATGACTACATCTTTCAAATTACAGTAATTCTTTTCTCACTTCGACACAACAACCGCCAAAACTCGGTGTTCCTACAGGCCAATCTGCTCATGCTTACACACTGATCTCAAAACTGTTAAACTTAAGTTCAAAACAATAACATAATACAAAACTGAATAAGACAGCATTTTGCCACATTTCTACAGTAATATTGTAATTAAATATATTTAGAATCTAAAAATTGAATGGTATAAAAACAATTGGACATTTGGACCAACCACAGCTGATTCCTGTTGTATCTGAATCAGTGGATGGTGTGTATACACATTTTTGTACTTTGGAATTACTCCAAAAATATATAAAGTATTGAAGCATACTGCATCATGTCTAACTCATTCTAGTCACATATATTGCAGTGATTTCTAAACAGTAGAGAGGTAGAAGAAAGAAAGCATTAACAGAGGAAAACAGTGTATAAAGTTTCCTGTTGTTAGTGTTTTTTAGGTCATTGTTTTGTGGGTGACAAAGTGTGTGTGTCGGCTGTCAACCTTTGCTAGTGTTCTGGAAGAATGTGTTAATTTGAGACATGATTCTGTAGTTTTAGTGCATTTTGAATGTGAAACGAACTGCTGTGCCGAGCTGAAAGCTGGCTAACCCTAACCCTAACCCTAACTGTGTGAAGAGTTTTGAAAAAGTGAGCTAAGTATTTAGAAATGTGTCCTAGTGACTGTAAAAAACTAAAAATCAGTCTTTATGGCGCATGCAGCTTTTGCTTTGCGGTTATGGTTTTGCTACTGCTGGTTTACATATTTAGGGAATTGTCTATTCTCTAAAGGTTGTTCAGAAACTGAAAGTACAGCGGCTCTGTCCTCGTACACGCTGAGCTAGCGCACGGCTGGATCCTAGCCGGATTATGAGCCGCTAATTTCATTGCGCACTGAATAGACATGAAGCTTCTTCTGGAGACGTGTATTTGTGTTTATATAAACTATCAAATAGAATTCGAATGCATGTTGTGTGTGTACAGTGTGTATATATATAAGATAAAGATAATCTTCCTCTTGTCAGGTAATAGCCCAGGACAGAAACCCGCTGTTGAGCACGGCTAACTGGGGCAAAATGGTGCAGAAAGTCTCCCAGTTTGGCATCCGGACCGGCACCTTCAACTGCTCCAGCGACTCGAGGTGAGAGAGGGTCCACACTTCAGTTCATTTTCCTCCTCTAGCGCCTGAAAGCTGTTTTACACATTCCTGTTCGCTGATCAACCAACATCCGACCCAATCATGCCTTTTATTTATAAATATATATACATATATCAGGGCTGTGCAACGATTGATCCAAATTAAAAGTCTGTTTACATAATATATGTGTGTGTAGTGTGTATTAGGACTGGGCGATATGGCTAAAAAAATCATATCTCTGTATTTTTTGGTTAAATAGTGATATACGATATTAATCTCGTTTAAAATCTGTCTTTAAATTTTTTTTATTTGATATCCTAATCCTACAAACAATGTTGATATTGAAGGATACGGAAACAAAATATAGTGAATGTAATGTAGGCTATGCAATATATTATGTGCAAAAAAGTTACATTACATTCTTAAAAAAAACAAATATTGCTTTTGTTTTTAAATTGACTAAACTATTAATGATATTTCAAGCCTTTATTTGTTATAATTGTGATGATTATGACTGACAGCTTATGAAAACCCCAAATTCTGAAAAGGTTTTCATAAGCTGTAATCCATAATCATCACAATTATAACAAATAAAGGCTTGAAATATCTCACTTTGCATGTAATGAGTCTATATATTATATTAGTTTCACCTTTTAAGTTGAATAAAAATAAATTAACTTTTGCACGATACTCTAATTTGTCGAGTCTCACCAGTACGAAGAGTTATGGTTTCTCCTCGTCTTAGTCATGTCTCAGGAATTCCCGTCATAGTTTTTGTTCAAATTAGACTTTATTCCTTCATTCTCATCTCAGGACATGTTTTTACTGTTAACCACACTAGAAATATGTGGATTATTAACCTTCTGGTGCTCTTCGTGTGTCGGTCACAAATGACAGAAATGAATTTTTTTCATTTCAATGAAATGAGTATTTTAGTCCGATAATGATTTTTATTTAATATTTTGTATTTTTATGGTGCTAATTTATATTTACGCAATATTTATAGTCCACTTGATAACTTTTTGAGCATAGAAAATTAAAATTCCAACTTAAACTTTTATAAATCTTGAATGTTTTAGGACACAGACTTCAGTTTGATCTATTTTCAAAGACGACACTTGGCAGATTATTGATGAAGTGAAACAAGTTTTAAAAAGTGAACTTAAGAAAAGTTACAGAATTTTACGTTTATTGGGTCTCATACATGAAACATTCGTCAATATACGAGTAAATATGAGAGTGATTTGCGCATAAAGAGACCTTCCCGAAAACTCTTCTCCTGATTCACAAATACTTCGTAAACGTCAGATGTGATATTAAAATGTGTGTGTGTGTGTGATAATGAATTCCACTCAGTGGTAAATGGGACGCGCGTGCACGCTCATTCTCAATTACCATAATCCCGCCCATTAAATCCGACTGACAACTATATATGGGCATCATATTATGACACCAAACGAAGGATTTCAACATGTCTTCTCAAAAGCGGATGAAAAAGAAAAATTTCTCAGATGCAGAAATCAAAGTTTTATTATCAGAAGTTCATTCAAAACACCACATTTTATTTTCAAGTGTAGGCTAGTGGCGTATCAGGTCCTAAAGAAAAGCATATTACAGATGCAGTTAATGGAGTTTCACCTGCTAATCAAACAGTCCCAGAAGTAATAAGAAAAACTGTGTGTAATTACTATATATAATATTTTTTCAAAATGCTGTGTAAATATGTGCCCGATTAAGGTGAATTAAAATGCAGCCTTAGTTATTAATGAGCAAAACATTCGGGTGTTAAACTCAGTATTTACGCGTGGCTGGGAGCAGTGTAGATTTCATTTGGAAAATATGTAAATTTTAATGAATCTGAAAATTTACGCCAGAACCACTTTACACACGATTTACACAAAACATCGTTCTGCTCGTGTTTCATGAATGAGACCCATAGTTTTGAAAAATGTGCAAAAATACTATTTTTAATTTTTATATGAAACATAGATTTTCAAAAACACTAAAACTGAGAAAATGAAAGCCATAAAGCTAAGCCAGTGGTGTTCCACATGTGAGCTGATCTGCCAGTAGACGAGCGTTCAGTGAGAGTGTGTTCGGCTGCAGTACCGAACGCTTCCACTAGAGGAAACTCCTCACTCAGTTACAATGCGGCGCTTCTGACCGCGAGGAGCGAGTGTGAACATCACTTTCAGGACCATTCAACCTGTTCAGATCATGGCCGTGAGTTATTTTTTTGTGTGTGTGTGTTCACAGAGCAAGTGCCAAAACCTTTACCAAGTTTCGTACCATTCCAATGAAGAAATTTTTTTTACTTTTTTTTTATTATTTTTTTTTATACAAGAGCACCAGATTCAGAAATCCAAAATATGGCGTCTTTATCAGAAAAAAATGCATTGAATGTTTTCCCCTCATTCCCTGTCGTCAGGTACTGCCACAAGCGTGGCTGGATGAAGTCCACCCTCATCATGTCGGTCCCGCAGACCTACGCCTCCAAAGGGAAGGTCATGCTGAAGGAGTACGACGGCCGGCGCATCGAGACGGAGCACATCTTTAAATGGATGACGGCGCACGTCGCCTCGCGCATCAAGACCATCCGCGTCTCCCAGCGACTCCTGGACGACTGGTATCAGATGGAGAAGCAGCCGGTCAAGATGTTCCTGTTTGCCAGACTCCTGCAACCCCCCGCGTTCTTCTCCGCGCTCAGCATCAAGTTCACCGGGCGGATCGAGTTCATCTTCGTGGACGTGCGCGACTGGGAGGACACGAGCGTCCTGGAGGAGATCGGGGTTCAGCAGACGCCCTCCTACATCCTCAAAACTCCTGAGGGCATTTACCGGTACGGGAACAGCACCGGGGAGTTCATCTCCCTACACGCCATGGACTCGTTCCTGCGCTCCGTGCAACCGGAAGTCAACGACTTGTTCATTTTAAGCTTAGTCATGGTTAACCTGATGGCTTGGATGGATCTTTTCATAACGCAAGGAGCCACTATTAAACGCTTTGTGGTTTTGATTAGCACGCTAGGCACTTATAACTCGCTACTCATCATCTCCTGGCTGCCGATCCTCGGGTTTCTCCAACTCCCGTACTTGGACAGCTTTTACGAGTACAGCTTGAAACTCTTGCGCTACGCAGACACCACGACCATCGCCTCGTGGGTCCGATCCGACTGGACCTTTTACTCGTCCCACCCGGCTCTGTTCCTCAGCACTTATCTCGCTCACGGGCTTCTCATCGACTACTTCGAGAAGAAGAGAAGATGCAGCAACGAAGACCAAAACGCCAACAACCTGGAGTGGTTGTCGAGTCTGTGGGATTGGTACACCAGCTACCTGGTGCATCCAATCGCCTCGTTCCAGAACTTTGAGTCCGATTGGGATGACGATCCTAATTTCCTTTTGGAAAGGTTGGCGTTCCCCGATCTCTGGCTTCACCCGCTTGTTCCCACAGATTACATCAAGAACCTGCCGACGTGGAAGTTCAGACTGAGTCCGGACCCTGACGTTGACCCGGAAGCGCATCGCCCGAGTGACCCGGACTGGTCTGGGTGGCCGTGCGGGATGCTCCACTGCACCGAGTGTGTGGTGTGTCTGGAGAACTTTGACACAGATTGCCTGGTCATGGGTCTGCCGTGTGGTCACGTGTTCCACCAGCAGTGCATTGTGGTCTGGCTGGCCGGTGGGCGGCACTGTTGCCCCGTGTGCCGGTGGCCGTCAAACAAGAAGCGACCCGCGAGACCGCGCGCAACCGAACCGCTGGATCCCGAATAACCCTCAATCCTTTACGTCCCGCTTCTTGCTAGTGTTGTCAAACGGACCGACTTCGGTTCTAAGTCGATACTGGAATTTTAAATGTGACGCGTTGAGCGCACTCATAAACGCCTCTGATTGGCCGTTGTGTTCACGAGCTCATCTGTGATTGGCTACAGTGATCAGCGCTGATAGACGCCTGCTGTCAAGCGCTCGCGTGTGTGTCTGTGCAAGCGCTCGCTGATGTTTATTTACAACGTGTTTTTGAAGCGCTGATCATTGCAGCCAATCACAGACATATCTGATGAGCGCATGAACACAACGGCCAATCAGAGGCGTTTACACTCAAAGCGGCGCATTTTTTTAAATTTCGGTATCGATTTGGTACCGAAGTCGCTACTTTTGACATCACCACTTCCTGCACTTATTTAAAAAAGAAGAAACAAACAAATGACTTGATGTGTTTAGTCGTTAGATTCATAACATTGGCTCCTGGGGGTTTTGTTGGTGGTTTTAACTTTGCACAGTGTTTCATTAAAAAAAAAAATACTTTTTTTTTTTCTTTTTTCTTTTTTTTTCAAAGGGAAAAAACTTGATTTGGGTCAAATGCCTTGTACTTAGATTTAAAAAAAAAAAAAAAGATTTTAAAAGCTAAAAATGATTAGGAAATATTGAATGGTAACGTTTCTGTTGTAGCGCTCATCATGAATCCCAGTGAGACGGTGAAGACAAACCCATGTGTTCCTGTACCTGAGAATCACATTGTGTGTTCAGTGTGTCTCCAGAATGTGAATGATCTAAGATTGAGTTCCCTTACTAAATCATGGGGGAGATGCGAGTCTTTATATAAAGGATTAACACTCTGGGCATGTGCATATGTTCTGTTTTTTGGAAAAAAAGAAAAAAAGTGATAGCTTTACATAACGTGAATTAAGCTGCCCTGTGCACAATTAAAAAATGGCTTTCGACATGCAATTCTTCATGGCTCCATCTGCATTTTATGTTATTGTCTTGTTGGAGCATGTTAGTTTATTATTATTTTCCGAACAGCATTTTTTGCCATTAACACTAATACAGACTTTAGCTCTTTGACTTCTGCTGTTCGTCAGAGTCTAAACGTGATTTGGGAACTTATACCTGTAATGATGTTCAATTCAATAAAGTCCCGTTTTCTCACCGGGGTTACAATGTGGATCCGCTCAGTTTTGTCAAGTCACAACCATTTTAGTTGAATATACATCTCATATAGATCAATGGTAAATATGAATTAGCACGTATATTAATTATTGCAGAAATTGTAATGTACATGCAGGAAACTTCATTGCAACCTCACCTTATATGCCTCTTACATATAAGTCACTATGAAGCACCCAAAATACTATATTTACAGTTATTAATGATGTTTGTTACGGTTTATTGAGGTGCTATTAATATATATTTCATATTACAGTACTAATGAGAAAGAGACTATAGCGTTTTGCATTGTTCTAATGATATTTTAGGGTTTAATTGTGCTAAAAACAACGCAAATGAATACAAACAAACATTTTACACTTTATTTTAAGCTGTCATAATTATATATGTAAGTACTGAGTAATATTGATGTTAAATAAACTACATGTACTTACTATAGGGTTAGGTTGAGAGTTAGTTGCATGTAATTATGCATAATGTACTGTTATACATGTAACATTTGTAACAAGGACACTGTGAAATAAAGTGTCTATACCTCAGCTGTCTCAACGAAAGCTGCATGCTTTCTATAATCTGTGTATTAAATGGAAGAATGAGTATCATTGCATTGCATATGAGTGAGCACGGGAGAGTCAGCGAATGAAATCATCTCGCGTCCGAGTATTTCCTCTTCTGCGAGCTCGTGACGTATGTTGACGTTGGGCGTGCCTACTGCGCATGCGCTGCTCTGTCACACCGCGCACCAGTGCTGCTGTTGCTAATCTACATTGTGCTGGGGGCTAGTCGCTGTCGAGGTTGATCACATTGATAATGTTTTGCTGAAACTGGTCGCATATTTCTGATCTCCGGTCCAGGACGCAGAATCATGCTGCGCGTGTGTTGGAAAGGGGCGCGTGCCGCAGCGCGGGTGAGTTTATCCTGCGCGAGCGGTCATTCAGTGACCCACAGCGAGGCCCGATGACTCGTGTCGTGCTAAATCACGGTTAACACTAACCCCTTGAGTGTTTATGTAATTAACCGGGGATTATATTAAGCTAAATTCGTAATGAGTTGAGGATTTCACCAGTTGAGGTTTGTTATTTGTAGTTTAGGTGGCGCACCGGTATAGAACGCTGTTGTACGTCAAACGACGTAACGTGCGTTCGAAAGAGGCGTTTATAATATGATAGGCAGATCCGTCGAACCAATGAAATCTCACGATTACGTGAGTGACGCCCCCCTCCACCAATAAAAACCTAGCATGTACACCGGCGTAAAACTAGGCGGGCTTTGTATGATTCATATTTTCTGACACACAAGCTAGCCAACAGCTGTCTGGAAATCTTTAGTTTTTACCTACATGTATTCGCCTTTATTTACATTTAACAGTATTTTACTTGCATCCTGTTCACGTAGAACATTGTAAGCGTAGATCTACACTACAGACCGTCAACTGTTTATTGGTTTTGTCCAATAGAAGGACGTGACCTTGTCATTGAAAAGTTCAGAAAGTTTCCGTCACGTTCACCATGGCGCTTTTATGCAAATGAGTGTATCAGTGTAATGAATAATCGATGCTGTGGAAAGAAGCTGATAAACTTTCAACCGTCTTACTGACATTGAAGAAATAGAAACGAAATTTTAGTGACAGCTGTTCATTCATTCATTCATTCATTGTTGTTTATTGCGTTTTACTGAATGTCTGATACACAATGATGATATCTTGTTTTGAGAGCCACCTATATATATATATATATATATATATATATATATATATATTTCATAAACCTGCTTTAACCGAACAACATTTAAATCTGAAATGAGTGGCTATTTGTGTAAAACATCGATGTAGAACAGTGGTTGTGCTCAGTGTAGAAGAAAGCTATCTCTTGAATGTCGAATGCTGTAGTTGATGATCTAATGTAGTGTGTGTGAGATGTTGATGTGTGTGTTTGTGTGTTTGTTTCTCTGCAGTGTGGGAAAGCGTCGGCCCAGCCGTTACAGCACTGCCGCAGATACACCACAGCTGGACACTCTGGGTACCACCTCAAACCCTAAACACACAACCATATTGCTGACTTATTTATTCTAAAACGTTGGGTGTTTTAACACATAGTGCATCAGCATGCCAATGACCCGTGACTGAAGAAAACCTACTGGCCATAACTATTTTTTACCGGCCATGAAACTGTTTTAGCAAAAACAGACGGCAAAATTGTATATACCAGTGAAAATTCACAAATATCTAATCCAATTTCGATACCACAGCTAAAACTACTGGTCTAACTAATATAAATGTAAACCATTATTAAAGACAAGTAAACAGTCAGTAATTAAATAAAGAGTGAATCGGGTCTTTTACTAGTGAATCGGGTCTTTTCCGTTCTGGACCTAAAGCACCGAGAGCACACCCGTAGTGTCACCGGGGTCTGAGCCTGAGTTTCTGCACACAGGTCGTCTGCGGGGAAGATCGTGGCCGCCGGCCTGCTGACGGTGGGTGGCGGTGTTGGCGGGACGATCCTCTATGCCAAGTGGGATCCGAAGTTTCGTGCAAATGTAGAGAAGAGCGTTCCTTACTCTGATCACGTGTTTGAGATGGCGCTCGGGCCGCCGGCGCCTGCACCCGCTCCTGTGCTGAAGAAACCGGTAAGAGTTACTCTCACTTTCAGACGGTCATCGAGGGATTCAGACTCTCTGTGCTTCAGTCGAGTCTCCTTCATTTATACAGCGCTTTTAACAATATGGACTGTTTCTTAAAGGGATAGTTCACTTTGAAATTAATTTTTGATATGTTTTAGCTTACCTCAAGGGCATCCGAGATGTAGGTGTCTTTGTTTCCGCAGTATTTTCAATTGTGATATTTTTAGGGCAAACCGTTCTTGTCTGTCAGTCATATAATGCAGGTCTATGGTCACCACCTCAAAGAGCATGCACAGAGAAGTCCAAATTAAACATGATTTAATGACTCGTAAATGTAAGTACACATTGATGGCCTAAGACACGAAACGAGCAGTTTGTGTGAGAAAACCAACAGTATTTATATCGTTTTTACCTCTTGTAACCACAGCCACGTCCAAGTGATCTGAGGGCGCGGGCGCCTCTGTCTGCGCAAGCGCCGGAAACTCCGGCTCGTACACACCGGGACGAATATCGGCGCGCGTTATTCGCCAGCGTTTTTTGTGTTCACACCCAAGCGATTCTCGCTGACGTTGAGCGGAGTGAACATGCAGATTAATTCCCTGACATTAGATGGCGCTTAATGTAAAACAGAAATAGTCCTATGTTGTAGTCGCTGTGGCGTTTGTCATATAGTTCTTTATGTTCCGACACCAACGAAACCACCAGCTCTACATTCATCTTGCCTCGCATCTTCCTCGTCTTATTTCTCCTCGGCAGTGTAGACGCTACTTGGCGTATATCTTCTTTGCCGTTACGTATGTGTGCTCGGCAAGACCGTTTTGTGTTTGAGCGCCCCCAAGCTGTGTTTTACTGTAACTTCAGAAGCTCCAGACACGTGAGCAAAAGCACCAATCTCATTGGTCGGATAGTTTTTGACGCGGCGCGTCAAACCAGAAAAACTAACCGAAGCGTTTTTTTAAAAAGTGCCCCTTTTACTAGGGGTGGGGGAAAAAATCGATTCTTAGATGCATCGCGATGCGGATGTGGACGATTCTGAATCGATTCACAATTGTCAAAAATCGATTTTCAAAAAAAAAAAAAAAAAATTTAGATATATATTTATAATAACGTAATATTGACGGAACGCGAAAGACGGAACTCTGAAGCGCGGAAGTGCAGTGGCCGGACCGTCTGTGGCGTGCACATAACAGACGCGGACGCGATGGCTGAGCGCCAAATCCAAACACCCTCCTCGTTAAAAGCTGACGTGTGGAAATATTTTGGCTTCTGAAGTTGAAGGGGGAAAGGAGCTGGACAAGAGCCACACTAGTTGTAAGCTTTGTAGAGTAAAACTAAAATATTTCGGAAACAAGACACATATGAGAAGCCATATG